TTTTTTTTTTTTTTTTTTTTTTTTTTTTTTGTACTGGGGATTGAACTCAGGACCCTTCTCTTGCCAAAGTTCAATTTATATGAAAGGTAAAAGTTGAGTTTCTTTGTTAGAATACTATATATATAAAAGAATGCTAAATTTTTTGTCAGATCCATTTGGACAGGGTACAGTAAATGGATACTTACATATTTGAGTATAAAGAAGCTATTTAAATGACTTTTTTTAAAAGGTATTTAGTACAGTGTCTATAGGGTCTTACTACACAGATCAGATTAATAGTGCTGCTCCTGTTTTCACCCTCCCAAGCACTGAGATGCAGTTGCGTGTCATCACGCCTCAGTTTCATTTGCCCTCTCAGTGTGCCCTAACAGTGGGGCCTGCATGGCACACTGGTGATCATACTCAGTCTGTTCTCCTGCTAAAGCAGTTGCTTTAGTCTGCTGAGCTATCTGGCTTGCCTTTTTGTTGTTTTTTGGTGATAGGTTCTTGCTGTGTAGCTGAAGCTGCTCTTGAACTTGTGCTGTTCTCCTGGCTCAGCCTCCCAAGTGCTGGGAGTATAGGTATACACCACAGGCCTGGCTTAAAGTGACATTACTGGAGTGTTCATGGTATACTAAATTTTAAAGTAAAAGTGACCTATTTCTTTTTAAAATTTACATATACACAAGAAAAAAAATTAAATGTACGTCAGAAATGTAGGAATATTACTGGGTGATGGATTTCAGTGTGGTTTTTTTTGGTTTTTTTTTTGTTTTGTTTTGTTTTGTTTTTGTTTTTTTTTTTTTTGCAGAACTGGGGATTGAACTCAGGTCCTTGTGCTTGCCAGGGAAGCGTTTATTTCACTGAGCCATCTCCCCAGCCCCTCAGTGTGATTTTTAAGTACAGTGGCATTTGGTATTTGATAATGTTTGTGACAAAGGATGAGAATAGGTACATTAAGTAAAATAGTTTTCCAATTCAGGTTACTAACTTACCTGTTAATATAATCTGTAATTTTCATTCATCCAGGAAAAAAATGAACCAGAAAATTTCATCCTCAGACATTAGCCCAAGTCATAATGCAGCCAGAACTGGCTCATTATAGACTCAGAAATGTCTGTGGCATTCAATCTGCTTTAAATAACTTTAAAATATTTTCCTTTTTCTTCATGATGCTTATTCTTTTCTAGATTCCTCAAATTAAATTGGTATCTGGATGGTCTTATACAATTATTCCTTCTAATGTACTTGCGATGTATTTTCCCACTTCACAGGCTGTTGATTACTATTTGAAAGCTCTGAGGTCACTGGGAACACGAGACATACATCCAGCTGTGTGGGATTCTGTGAACTGGGAATTGTCCACTACTTACTTTACTATGGCAACACTACAACAAGATTATGCTCCATTATCCAGAAAAGCTCAGGAGCAGGTAGTAAGGTTTGCTTGATTATAACCTAAGTCCCCGACCTTCTTTAGTTTTTTAAATGAATTTTGAGTATCTGTTGTCATCTTTTCCTTGACAAACACTATTTAAATGTGAATGTTCTTGTGTTATAGTGTGATCATACAGCTTCTTATTTTTTTCACCCCTTTGGAAAAAAAATAATATACAGATTGAAAAGGAAGTCAGAGAAGCCATGATGAAGTCTTTGAAATACTGCGATGTTGACTTAGTGTCTCCTCGGCAGCCTCTTTGTCAATATCGAGCTGCAACCATCCATCACAGGCTGGCTTCCATGTACCACAGTTGTCTGAGGAATCAGGTATGGTGCTCTGAGTCAGTCCCGTGCCAAGTCCACTTAGAATATGGTGAGTGCTTTCTGAACATTCTCGTCTATGCTGTAAGTGCCATGAATGTAGTTACCTACTTTCTAAAAAATGTGTTCCCCTTGTGCTTTGCCTCTCAGCTGTACCATGTGGTTGTGTCTTCTACAATCAATTTGGCCTTAGTTCAAAAGTTATACATTTGCTTGAGTGTAGTGTTTTAAATGTGGTAAGTTAGATGTTAGAATAATTTTTTTCAAGTTCTAAAGTACCAATCTTATCTTGCTAAAAAATAGAGCATGCATATACAAGCATACAGAAAACAGTTGGAACGTACATGGTTTAAAGAATGACAAGTTAAGCCCTTGCACTTGGAGGTTATAGGATGGCCGAGTGCTGTGAAGTCCCTCTGGTGTCCCTCTTAAGAGTTGCCCACTGGATTAAGGCTGTCCTGAGCTTTCTCCACATCTATTTCTCCTTCCCACTCTAGTGCTGTCATGTTTCATCATGAACTTCATGGAGCACATATACATGTGTGTCCTTCTGTGTCTTCCTGGCTATTCACATCATGTTACTGTCATTCATCCATATTGGTGCTTTACTTTCACAGCTTAATAATACTCAGTAAGTGACTCTCTCATAAGATCCTGTGGTTATTGAACTTTGGGGCTGAGTGACACTGTTAGGCTCTAGAAGAATCTAGGTCTACTGTACGTGACACTGCATGAAATAACAGCGGCACATGAGTCCTTGTGCCCCACTGCATGTATCTCTAGGGACTGAGGCCTAGATGAAGGTGTCAGAGAGGCTGCTTAGCTTGTGCTGGAGACGTGTCCATTAGTTTCTCAGTGATAATTTTTTGGTTCATTTTGTAGCTTTTCTTCCTTTCTCAATACTGAGACAACTTACTGTACAGTTGTTTGAGTTTGCTCATGTCTAGGTTGCCCTTATTCCAAGAGTATTTTCCTTTGGGACACAGCTTTATCTGGAAAAGATTTCTTTCTGCTGAGCTGTAGTAGGTCCTCAACCAAAGGAGACCAATCCAACCAAAAGTCATTAGGAGCTGAAGACTACAAACAGAGGAGGAAGATTAATCTTTTTAGCAGTTGGTGCTGGGACAGGTGGATATTTCCACATGGAAGAATGGATGAGGCGTCCTCCCTTACATCAGAGACCAAAATTAATGGAAATGGGTAAAAATCATGTGCAAGGGCTACAGAAGACTGCAGGAAGAAAGTTTAAAATGTATAGTGATTCAATCAGAAGGTTTGATTAAATAGTATGAACCCTACTCTTGAGATTTATTTTTTAATTTTAGCCAGGGGTATAATTCCATGGTATAGTGCCTTCTAGGCAAGTGCAAGGTCCTGAATTGGATTCCTGTTAAAGAACAAAAGAAAAAACCCTACAACTTCTATTTTGTACTTTAACTTTACTCTAGGTTGGTGATGAACGTCTTAGGAAACAGCACCGCTTGCTGGCAGATCTTCATTATACCAAAGCTGTAAAGCTTTTTCAGCTTCTCAAAGACGCTCCCTGTGAACTCTTGAGAGTACAATTAGAAAGAGTGGCATTTGCGGAGTTTCAGATGACCAGTAAGTCTGACCTCCCACTTCTCTGATCTGTCTGCATTGGTTTAGTGTCCAATTGTCTTAGAGGGGGCAGGCCTGTGTTGCCCCTGGATGGGAATAGTCCCGTCTCCCTCTCAGTTTGCCTGTAGTTGTGGATGGGTGTCCATCCAGAGACCGAAGTGCTTTTTTTTTTTTTTTTTTGCGGAACCAGGGATTGAACTCAGACCATTGCACCTGCCAGGGAAGCACTTATTCCACTGAGCCATCTCCCCCACCCCCTGAAGTGCTTTTTCGACTTAAGAGAACTCAGGTTCAACATGGAAAAGGAGATAGAGAAAGAGCAGGAAAAGAGGAGTGGTCCTCACCGGCTCCCTTAAGCCTGGAAGTGATACCTGAACAGTTTTGGGCTGCGGTCCTTGAATAGACACCACGTACTGCCTGAGAAAGCTGGAGAAAAGTGTTCAGGGAGGAGAGTGCTAAGGAAGCTGGATGTCCTCCCTTGTCCTTTCCACTCCAGGGACTAAGCTGATGCTAACCACTTTGTGTTTTCTCTGCACTCGCTCCCTCTTGTCCTTGGACTGCCCCTTTCTTCAAGCGATGATTTGTGAAGTATCTCTTTTGGAACAAATACTTGTAGTGCAGCAATGTATTTGGCTTCATTTAAATCATTTTGTGAATAGTTTTAAAATTTTTATTTCACTAAAGTCTCAGATGTTGATATATTTCAGATATCCCATTTGAGAATAGGGATGCTCAGCCCAGGACGTCCTTGCTCATATTCCTATGTCTGAAACTTCTGAAACCTGAAGCACTTGTGCTCCCAAGAATTGTGCACAAGGGACACTGAGCCTGCACTTTTAAGTACACATGTCTCCTTATGGGTGTGCAGGCCTGGAGGAGGGAACTAGGAAGAGAGTGTGAGGCCATATTCCTTGTGCCCTCTTTTGGAGTACCAGAAACAAGTTTGGGAAGATGACAAGTGTAGTAAATTCACTTTTAAAAATGTTTGAATAGTATGTATATCTAAGGCAAATAACGTAAGTATTAAAGGAACTCTTATTATAGCTAGGCTTGTAGAGATTGTAAGCCAGGTAAATAAGTGCTCTAGCTTGTAATACTTTGATTCTCCCACAGAATTACAGACAGCACTATACCTGCCTTTTCACCGCAGTAATTGGTAACAAACAGACCTTACTGACCCCAACCAGAGCTCACTCTGGCCTTGCGACCCACAGTTTGGTCTGGGATTTGTTCACATAGACTTGAGTGACTGCTGTGTGGCTGGCTCGGCTGCCGGTCCTCTGCAGGACTGTGAACCAAAGTCCCCAACATACATCGCTTTGTTCTGGTCTTCAGTATAGCCCCTTCCTCCATCCCCAACCCCCAGTAAACAAAGACACTAAGCAGGCAGGGCCTTCCAGGCTTAGCCCTCACCTGGTGGAGTGAGACACAAAGCAGGCCTCTCTTTCAAAAGATTAGTGTTCACTACATGCACATTGACTGAGCTCAAGGAGAGCAAGCAGCAGCACAGATGCACCATAGTTAGCTGCACTCAGAAAGCTCTGGAGTGAAATGCAGCCTTACTCTTCTGGTCTGACGGTGCCTTCGGACAGATTCTGCAGTGCTCAGCATGCACTGAGTGCTAAGTGACTCGACCAGGCTCACACAGCTGACACATGGTGCAGTGGCCTTTGAACCACAGAGCCCTCTCTGGGCCTCCTCAGCTGTTGCTTCTGCCTCTGGTCTCTGTTCCAAGAAGGTTATCTTCTCACCCTGACAAAACCAAATCAGGAGACAGAAGCAGTTTTGATTTATCACTGTGTTTGGCTTTATTCTTTTTTTCCCTCAAAGGAAAATTAGTGAACAGAAGGGGGATTTAGAAGATTTGTTGGGATTCTCCTAAGTGTCTGCGACACTATGTGAACATCAGTATTTTCAGGTGCACATGATGGTGCACGCCTGTAATCCCAGCACTGAGGAGGCTGCGGCAGGAGAATTGCTAGTTCAAGACTAGTTTAGACTACATAGTGGGTTCAAGGCCAGCCTGAAATACTGAGACTCTGTCTCAAAACATAAACCAACAAATCAGAATTTTCTCTTACCATCAGATGGATTTCTAGCTGTGTAGCTAAATGGATGACCATTTGTGTTTCCTGCCTTAGGTCAGAATAGCAATGTTGGAAAGTTAAAAACACTATCGGGGGCTCTTGATATCATGGTGAGAAGTGAGCATGCGTTTCAGCTCATCAGGAAGGAGCTTATGAAGGACCAGCTTATGAAGGACTCAGACCAGAGGAGTAAGGTTGCATTTCAGGTAAATGAAGAAAATCATTTCTTTAGATTTTTATGTGCCTTATACCAAACGATGGCTACATATAGTGAGCACATAGTATGTGTTCATAAAATGTGTATTTGTGTGTGTAGATGCATAATATCCCATTAATACCGCCACCAATTTTGTTACAGTGGCAAAACACTGAAGCTGCTGGGTAACTTATGAAGGGGAGATATTTATTGCGTTCATAATTTTTGTGGCTGAAGGGTCCAAATAGCATGGCACCATTGTTCTGTGAGGACCCCTGGCTGTCCCAAGGTGGTGAAGCAGAAAAAAATCCTGACACTAGTAAAGTGGGCCAAGACATGAGCTAACCTCCCCTTATGCCTACTCATTCTTGCCTGATCGAGTCACAGGAGACCTGGCCTCATGAGGGACAGTGTTAACCCATTCACTGGGTTGAGGCCCCCCTACCAGTTCTTCTCAAGAAGCCTGCCTGTTACAGCTTCCATCAGCTAAAACGAGGCCCCAGTTCATGAACCTTTACAGGAAAAACTGTAGCTGTTACTCTGGTGTGGTAAAGAAGACTAAACTGTTTTGTTTAATTTGCAAGTATATCTTCTAAAAATTTTTAAGATTATGCTTTAAGGAGACAAATAGATTATAGTTAGCTAAGGCACTGGTTACCACATTATAAAGTCTATTTGTGGGAGGGTTTTGTTTGTTTGTTTGTTTTGGTCAAAGACAGGACCACCATCTTCCTCATGATCTCCACTAACCTGTTGGGGAGCAGTTGAATGGTGAACGAGATTAAGCAGGCTCCACTGAAGACACTTTCTGTGTCTGGGCATACCAGCATGTTTGCTGCCTTTGTCTGCTGTTGACACTCTTTGGTCCCTATCCATCCACCCATTGGCTTCCCATCCTTGGTAGTCAGCTCCTGGGTAGACCCAGTTCCATGGTGCCCTGCAGTGACAAGTGTTGGAAAGCAAGGAGACTGTCACTTGGGATTCCTTTAAGTGCTTCTTAGGTGAGGGATGCTTGTGTTGTGTTTAAGGCCATGTCTCAGTACTCTTCTCTCCTTGCTGTGGCAAATACTTGACACCCAAAATGAAGGAAGGAAAGTTTTATTTAGCTCACACGTACTAATCAGAGCTCCCGAGGCAGAATGGCACGTAGCAGAGGGCAGCAGTTCATGATGCTGGAAGACAGAAGAGCAAAAGGGAGCAGTAACAGCAACAATGGCCAGAGAGCAAGTCTGTCTCTCAGATGTTCTGTTCAGGCTATCTGCCCCAGGATGGGCATAACACTCACACCCATAATCCCAGCCTTGGATCATGAATTAGTCAAATTATAGTATTTCACCTCAATGACTGCTGAGGCGCTGGGGGGACAACTAGACACAAACCATAACAGGCTATCAAAGTGATGATCACTCCTGTTGTTTGGTTTAGTTTGTCTTTGTTTATATTTGATTGGATTAATGAAACTGCAGTGTTGTCCCTTAAACGAAATAACACTTTGTTTTTTTTAGCCTAATGGTAGTGAAGCCAGCCCAGCTACTGATTCTTCCAGTCTTAACCAAGAAGAAGTGATCAAGCTCCTCAGTATATTTGAATCTCGACTCTCATTCCTTCTCCTTCAGTCCATCAAACTGCTATCTTCAACTAGAAAGAAAACAAGGTAAATTACATGGTTATTTATGGAAACTTCTTTCCTAGCATCTTACCTATAAAAAGAATTTGAATATCTATAGACATTATATATTTAAAAAACAGGTTGTGTTCTTTCTTGTATATGGAAAATGCAGAATTTTAAGGTTTTCCTTCTTGACTTGTTAAAGGGAAAAATAATCTCCGCGGGGCCAACTGCATATTCAGCTTGTAGACACAGTCTTGGCTACCGAGGGGTAGATACCCTGTTGTGTAACATGTTACTTACTAGCCTTTCGGGAATTTCTCTGATGGTCAATCTTGCCCACACTTTGGATGCTCAGGGAGAGGGGAGCAAGAGATGACGTAATAAATTGATCTACCATGAGAGGTACAAAACTTTCAGAACAAACCATAAAAGGAAGCAGAAGGGAGTAGTGTAACAAGACTCTCTAGCTGAGGGGCTTTCTTGAGCCAGCAGTTGGAGCTGCTGAGTACAGAGTGAGGAGAGCACCAGAGGCCCTGGGTTGGGGGTCTGCAGGCAGCTCCAGAGGACTTGAGGTGGTGCCCTACAGCTGCTTTGGATGGCAGCCTAGCCTAAGCTAGACTAGGCTTACAGAGTAGAAGTCCTTCTCTGCTTCTCTTTTACACTGTCCCAACTACATTGTTTCTCAGTTGTGGCAAGTACCACATGGTGCTCCCTTGATTGTTCATTGTATGTTGTCTGCTGGTGCTCCCCACTCTACCCTTAGCAGGAAGCAGGGATCTTTTTTTGCTCTGGTTCACTGCCCAGAGCAGCTCCCTGTGCACAGTAGGCTTTCAGATATTTATAAGAAGTTGAATGAATGTACTAGTTTTAATTTGTACTTGACATGTCTAAAAACAGGCCCCAAAACAGTAGCTATAAAAAGATAGGCACGAGTGCCAGTAGTGGAATGTGGTGCTCTGTACAGTGTGACCCTTGGCCTCGTACTGTTTGTTTCATGTCCCTTTCCACTGTTGCCTTCACGTTTTCTTTTTCACCCCAGCAGTAGCATTGATGAGGATGTGGTCTTCAAAACCAATAAGCAGATCTACTCTCAGCTTTTGAGAGCAACTGCGAACAAAGGTGCAAATCTTTTGGAAAGAATTGACATCATCATCCATCTGCTGGAGCAGCTCGCCCATGGCGGCAGTCCCATGAGTGGTGACTCTGTCCCCGTCCAGTGACCACGCCCAGAGCCGTGTCACCCAGCATGCTGTCAGTGCCTTCTGAACATGGGAGCTGCTTTGTCCATTTGGTGCTGTTTCATTAAATGTGAGGAAATACCCATCTGGCAGGGAGGACAGTGGAAACATGCCGTTCTTCCTACTGTAGACAGAGTATGTGGTAGGGTTCTCTGGCTTCTCCATTTGAAGTTCCAAAAGCAGAGTCAACCCAAAAGCTTCCAGAATTTGTTCTTTGAGAAGTATGAGTTACCTCACTAGACGTTGTGTGATACAATTACATCTTAATTATTTTTGAAATATGTTAAGCTACATATATTTAAGATACAAGTATTTTGGATGAAATGTTACTTTGGTCAAAGGAACTGTTATCCAAATGATTTTATAGATTCAAAGGTTTAAAGAAACTTCCTGTATGTCTATAATGTTAAAGACTGGCCATGGTGTAGTAGTCTGTTCTAAATGCATGTTCTAAAGGGAGTCACTTTTCTTCGACTTCATATATAAACAGCTGAGTACAAATAGGTACTACCCCACTTTTTTCATTTTTAACTTGAAACTGTGAATAAGGTAACAAAATTATTTTGAATAAAGTATTTATTTAAAATATTTTTGTATTTTTCATTCTTCATATTGAGTCAGGATTTGGACTCAGTTCAATCAATAAATTTTACAAAGCTCATACAGTAAAAATAAACTTACTGCATCCACTAAATGAACATTATTGCTACTTGTGCTGCTCTGTGGGCTATGTCCAGTTGCATACATACACACTATTTTTTTCAAGCCTGCAGGGTAAAGGCTGCATTTGACCTTCATAATTAATGTCACCAATTTCAAGAAAGACAGTATACCATGTAAATTATAGACTCATGTTCAACTGACAGCGTAGAGTGCTGTACAGATAGGAAGTAATGCCAGGGACTCCCTTTAGTCCTACCCAGAGGGCCATGGTGTCACCCTACAGGTCTTCCACATTGACCAGCAGCCCCTCCTGCACTAGCCTCACCCCAGTGTAGGAATTTGCAATAAGCGGATTTTCAACTGTTTTCGTAGAAATTTTCAATTGTCTATGGAAAATGAGTTGACACCACCTATGTTAGTTTGGCAGAATTCTCTTGCCATTTGTCCATTGCCTTGTTTATTTGGCGTGTCATGTCCTTGGGACAGATGTGCATCCTTGGCAAACGTTAATTACTGATCATTTAAAGTTTTGTCTTAACTTGCAAAGCATTTGCAAATCTACAGTGTCTCAGGACTACTGCATTGTGTTTCCCTTGTCCCCAAGCATGCACATAGGACGGGGCTATCTTCCCTCTCCTAGTGAAACTGGGGGCACTTGTACTGCTTATATCATATTGTGGATTAATTAACTCAAAAGGGATGTTATATACAGGTTCAGGATATAAGAGCTACTTATATTCTCTTCTAGTCTTTCTTAGCTCAATAGCTAAGAGGAAAATATTTTCTAAGCAAGAAAATATAAATTCTGTCTTTACTTTTCAAAGCAATAACATGAAAATTCCCATAGGGAAAAGTACTTTTTACATGTATTTGTAAGTTGGCAATTTAAATTCAAATGAAAGCTTCAGGAGGTAGCTATATTTTAGCTGTTCCTTTTGAACAACTGTGTTACGGGTGGCCTGATCACTGATGATACCCAGTGGTCCTCAGTTAATTTCATTGTCCACGTGGCATTGGGTCTGGTTTTGTTTTTAAATGTAATAATCATGTACTAGTTAAAGGAACACAATGCCTATCCTAGATATAATGGACATGGCAAAAATAAAAGTACCAGTGGCTTTCGGAGGCGTACTTCACGGTCTGGCCTTGAGAGCCTAAGTGAACTATCAGGGTAAGTTTACTGCTTTCCAAGGAGAGGACTGCGCAGATGAATTACAGTAAGCCAGAGAAGCTTTTCTGTTCAGGACTGCCAGCTGGCCCATGCAAAATGGAGCACATAGGACAGGCAGGAGACCCCCAAGGACTGGATGGAGCCAGAAATAGGAGGTGGGCCCAGGAGCCACCACCAGGTTTGACTGGTGAACTTCAGCTCTTGGACTGAAAATCCTGACAGTAGTGAAGATGTAGACAGACACAGTGAAAACCTTTTGTACCCTGTCAATTAGAAAAAAAACTTGTCATGATGACAGGAACCTTGAACTTAATGCCAATTCTTTGAACTTTCTCTCTGAACCCTTACTTTTCAGTATATATAGTACAGCCATGTCCTTCCCCTTAGGGGTGGTACCTCCTTTCTTGATGGTTTGACCCATGGTTCTGGCTGCTTTTCTGACCCACAGGTACAGGGTGCTGCAGTGTTGCAACAGGAAAAAGCTGTAGGGCCCAGTCATAGCAGAAACAGGATTCCTTGGGGTGCTTGAGTTTTGTTGTTTTTAACCTGTTCTTAAAAAAATGGGAGGTGCCCAGTAGATAGCTCAGTAGAATAAGCGCTTGCCTGGCAAGCACAAGCGCCTGAGTTCAATCCCTGGTTCCTCAAAAAAAAAAAAAAATTAGAAAATAAAAATTAGGGCTGGTGAGATGGCTCAGTGGTTTAAAACACCTACTTAGAACAAGCTTAGCAAAGCACAGGGACCGCGGTTCAATCCCCCAGCACCACATGCCAGCCAGCCCTGCCCCCTGGTGGGCTGAGCTGGCCACACACACACACACACACACACACACACACACACACACACACACTAAATGTAAAAAAAAAAAAAAAATTTAAAAAAAAAAAAATTAAAAAAATTTTTTTTTTTTTTTTTTTTTTTTTTTTTTTTTTAGTACAACTGATCTTCAAGCCATGCATTTTTAAAGTTCAGGCAATATTGTTTTCACTGGGTTTGTTTTTTCACTGGGGGAGCCATAATTTGTAAAGTCAGATTTTTTTTTTTCATATAGAAGAGGAATCCTATGACTCAGTTTTCCTCATTTGTAGAAGAAATGAGTACTGAGGATTGAACTTCATGCTTGTGCAGCAAGCTTCATCCACAGACTTTCAGTGTACATGCTGCCCAAGTGAGGGCTCCTAGACCTCTGAGACAGGCTCTTGCTAAGCTGGTGGGTGGAGATGCAGTCCAGGACTCCCATCTTCAGTCCATGGAGATTCTGCCATTGCCCAGGAAATAAAGTCTTTTGTTGGGCCAGTGAGATAGATCAGAGAATGAAGTGCCTGCTTTGGCCAACCCCAAGCTAGCCCTGTCCCCCGGGCACAATGAACTGGCACCTGGCTTCTACGAGTTCTGCACTTTCAGATCCTATATAAAAATAACTTTCTGGGGCTGGTGAGATGGCTCAGTGGTCTAAAGCACCTACTTAGAACAAGCTTAGCAAAGCACAGGGACCGTGGTTCGATCCCCCAGCACCATATGCCAGCCAGCCCTGCCCCCTGGTGGGCTGAGCTGGCCACACACACACACACACACACACACACACAAATTAAAAAAAAAAAAAAACCTTTCTGTGCCTGAATTATTTCATTTAGTATGACTCTCGATGTCCTTCCACGTTGTTGCAAGTGACAGGACTGTGTCCTTTTCTGTGGCAAAATAGTATGTCAGTGTGCATAGATACATGTTAAAATCCACTCATCCACTGATGGGTACGTAGGCTGGTTCTCTATCTTGGCTGTTACAACTAATGCTGTGACAAATCTAGAAGTGCAGTAGCTCATTGGCATGCTGCTTCCACTTCCTATGGCTATATATCCAGTAGTGACGTTGCTGGATCATACCACAATGTTATTTTTTTTTTTTTTTTCACAATGTTATTTTTAATGCTTTGAGGGATCTCCACTTTTGCTTTCCACGGTGACTGTGCTAACTTGCATCCCCACCAACAGTACAGAGTGGTTCCCTTTTCTCCACATTCAGCTGTGGAGGAGTCTGGGTGTGGTGGTGCACACCCGTAATCCCAGCACTGGGGAGGCTGAAAACAGGAGGATCACTATGAGTCCAAGCTGTGTAGTGAGACCCTCTACCAAATACATTAAAAAAAAAAAAAAAAATTTTTTTTAAAGCTCCAAGAACAAAATGGAGCTGTATTATGCAGTGCCCCTCACCCATGATGACCCAACTCAATACTGGTGCTTTCAGTGTTGCCAACATAAACTAGTCTGGAACCCCTTAAAATCACTGAAAAATGTGCTCCCAATTGTGAAAGACTGCAACTACAAAAGCCTGCCACAGGGCAACTGCTTGATGTAACCAAACTAGGATGATTCTTCTGTGTAATATAAAGGATAATTAAAGCCAAATTTACACAAGGATCCCAATGGGGAAGTTTGTATAGAAACATCTTCTACTGTTGCTCTTGCTTTGTTTACTCTGAACAATTTACGGCAGTATGGTTTGTATTGCTAGGATTCAAGTCTAGAGTGTATGCAACTTTGGTCTCGGTTGGAGGGCAAAGGAAAAGCAGTAGCCCTTGTAGGTGTGGGATCAGACTGCATTGGCAGTGCAGGGTGCCTATCTGAGCTGGGTGTGGAGGTGCTTGACTGTGGCTGTGGATGAGGAAGACCAGTGACAAAACAGCCCCAAGCTGCCCATTTTCACATGGCCAGCCCCACCCCCAGGCTTACTAATGCCCGGCAGTTCAGCATTTGCTGGCTGCCTGCTGGGTGAAGTCTATCCCTGGTCCTGGGATGTGAGACTTTCTAAGCTCGGACCAACCCAGTCTTCCCAACCAAGTCTCCTTCTGAGTGCCTCCCCCGTGCACACACCTACCCTAACAACTTGACAGTCATGTATTGCCTGTGCCTTCTCAGCTTCTGCTACTTGACCCTGGCCATGCTTGCACTTCCACACCCACACCATCCCAAGCACCTTTTTATGGGTATTCTAGATTCTACCCATCCCTAAGTGTAGGCTAAGTCCCAACTGCTGGTGCTGCCAATATGGGATTCCAGGTGGCAGTGGTCATCTCTCCTGCCCAGCTCACCTCTTGGAGACATATTTCTACTTGTAGCCTTCCAAGGTAGGCTCTTTTCCTCCAGGACTACGAAAAACTTGTGTCAGGCTCTATGATTCTCTGACAATTGCCTCAAGTTTCTAGCAATTTATTCACTCATTAACTTCGATGCCTCATGAAAAAGATCAGGGGATCAAGGCATGGTGGTACACACATTTAACCCCAATTACTCAGGAGTTTGAAGATGTTAAGTTTGAGACTAGGGCTAGGGATGTAGCTCAGCAGCATAAGCCACTTCTTGGCAAGCAAAATATAGCACAACATGGTTATTACGAAGGAACAGGGCAATGGAAAAATGAACTGAAGCCTTTCACCTGAAAGGAAGAATGTAACAGACGTGCAGATTTCCTATATTGTAGTCTTGCTATGCCCTATTGTTTATAAATGGGGCTAGGGAGGGAGAGAGAAAAAAAGTTTGACAGGTAGCAAGAATTTTTTTTTTTTTTGAAGTACTTTTATTTATGTGTGTGTGTGTGTGGCCAGCTCAGCCCACCAGGGGCTGGATGGCATGTGGTGCTGAGGGATCAAACCGCGGTCCCTGTGCTTTGCTAAACTTGTTCTAAGTAGGTGCTCTAGATCACTGAGCCATCTCACCAGCCCAAGAACTGTAAGTATAGTAACTTTGAATGATTTTAATGTAGTTTTTGAAATGTTTATAATCAGGTTGGTCAAAGTAGTATGTTTGGGTTTTTTGGTGGAACCAGGGATTAAACTCAGGCCCTTGCACTTGCCAGGGAAGTTCTTATGCCACTGAACCATCTCCCCAGACCACTGTAGTATGTTTAATGCTGAATTTTGACAACCCTTTGCATATTTTGTTTTTGATGCAGAAATGTTAAGAACTGTATAGATGTTATAAATCTGAATAGTCCTAGACATGTTAAATTTCATAAATCCGCCACTTGAAACTGTGTTTTCTGTTTTTAGGGTTTTGTTTTGTTTTTTGTTTTGAGACCAGGTCTTATTATGCAGTTTGGGCTAGCTTGTGCTCACATTTTGTAGCCCCCAGGCTGATCTCAAACTCAGTGATTCTGTCTCAACCTCAGTACTAGGATTATAGGCAAGTGCCACCATGCCCAGTTCCATAGAGACTATGGTTTAAAGAAACATGTCTGGTTATCAAGTTGATCAGGGGTGGATCATGGTGGATTGACAACTGTTGGTCTAACACCCAGCTGAACTGAATCAGAATGCTGAGTGTGGAAGGCCCATGTGATAATTGCAAAATGCCTAATAAGAGAACTGGAGAGGAAGAGGTGGGCTGTTGATTTTCCTTGATAAGCTTGTCATGCTTGCTTTGCTGGTATGAAAGTCTCAATGGAACAGGTCAGGACCTTGTTGTTGGTAAGGACAGCTGCATTTCTTTTTGGGAAAGCTCTGGTCTTTTTTTTGAACAGGACTTGCTCCAGTGCAGACCCTCCAGCCAGCTGGCACAGATCCTTCATCACACAGGTGCAGATTTTCTCGCTTCTAGCACTCACTTCTGGGCCTTCCCAGCACAGATCCTTAAAACAGGCCAGCATGAGTCATTGTCAGGGGCTTTAAGCCTCCAGTTGGACTCATGGAGGATACTGTCATAAGCTCTAGGTACTCAGCTGGACTCATGCAAGATACTGCTATTGGACCCAGGCCCTCAGCTGGAGTCTTTGGGTCTCTAGTATGTGAGCAGATTTCTGATGCTCATTTGCATTTCATTCACTAGGTGAACACTATAATCTCATAAATTATGTCCCGTAATAAATTGTTTCCCTTGTAGACCCGACTACAACAGTGTTAATGTGAGTGACAAAACTTAATTTTACCAACTTATTTTTCTTTTTAAGAGAAAAATAAGCAAGTAGCCAAGTACCTATAATATAAAAATTTGAGATCACATCCCCTCCTCTTTCTTTTTGCCATCTGGCCACCATGAGTAGTGTTCACTGCCACAGGCACCCTGCAATGACCTCTACACCAGTAGCCAAAATAAACCTTTCTCTTTTAAAATTTATAATGTTGGGTATTTTGTCAGTGATAGATAATACATAACCACTATCTTTATAGAAGATAATTTTAATATTATTTTACAAATAGATACTCATGAAACACATCATTTTAGATTGAAAACATACCATCTCTTTTTTTTTTTTCCATACTGGGGACTGAGCTCAGTACCTCTGCCCTAAACTGTATCCCCAACCTTTTTTATTTTGACACTGGATCTTAATAAATCTCTTGGTTGCCCAACATGGGCTTCATCATGCAATCCCTCTGCCTTAGCCTCCCAGAGTACTGGGATTACAGTCAACACATACTATCTCTTTTACAAAGTACATACCTTGTTGACCTCTTATAACCTGGATGGAAGCAGGACCCCTTTTCTAACAGTATCTTGGTAACTTAAAGAATGCCCCACTCTGCACATTTTATTGACGTTACCAGTGCAGGTATTGTTAACACCCAAGTGTTACCTGCTAGAGAACAAGGACTGTCACATTTGAAAAATTTAAACAGTATCAGTGCATACACAAAGATAAAAGTGAAGTATGATCTTTTTGAAAACCATTTATTTTATTTTATTTTATTTTTATTTTATTTTTATTTATTTATTTTTTGAAGTGACTTCCATTTATTTTGATACATCTTTTCCCCATGATGATTTACAGGATCTTCAAGCCAATA